ATATTCCCAGGACGAGAGGCAGCAGCAGACGGAAGATCAAGGTGGCGACCAGCTGATGGGCAGCCATTGTTGCCAATATTGCAGGTCAGTCGTCGAGGAGGAGGTCAATTGAGGCGGAGGGAGACGGCAGGGGATCGCGGGGTGATGGAAATGGCGGCCGGAGGAGGAAGAGGACGGAGAGATAAGGAGAGAATTGAGGTCGACGACGGAGACGAGCCGCTGTTGCATCCCCGGCGGCTGGCGTTGCAGGATCGGGCGGTGACGTCACGCGTTCTTCCGTCGCCGTCTTCGGCAGGATTGGCTTCTCCTGGGGGGGGAGGGGGGGAGAGGGGGAGAGAGGGAGAATTATTAGCACCGGAAATTGGTTTTTGGGATTTTTTGAGATTGGATGTGCGTGTGTGTGTGGTGTGTGTGTGTTGTGTGTGGTGTGTGTGTGTGTGTGTGTGTGTGTGTGTGTGTGTGTGTGTGCATGTGCATGTGCATGTGTGTGGTGTGTGTGTGGTGTGTGTGTGTGTGCATGTGCGTGTGCATACATACATACATACATTCACACATACTACGTACATACACATACCCAACATGGACATAAAAAGATCAAACATACCCAAATATGTAGACGTCACCACACACTAACAGAACTATTAAAACAAACACACACAAACGTCCAGTTACCTTATTCATTACCTTATATATTTTACCTTATATCTTATACATCATACCTTAAACCCTATATCTAATACCTTATACCTTATATATTATACCTTATACCTTAAATCTTATATCAGATACCTAATGCCTTATACCTTATATGATATACTTTATACCTCAAATTTTATATCGAATACCTAATACCTTATACCTTATACCTTAAATCTTATACCTAATACCTTAAATCTTATACCTAATACCTTATACCTTACATAATATACCTTATACCTTAAATCTTAAACCTAATACCTTATACCTTAAATCTTATATCTGATACCTTTGATACCTTATACCTAATACCTAATACCCTAATACCTTATACCATACATTTCGCAACAAGAGAAATTTAACTGTAATCATTTTCCCCATCAGTTTACAGCCGGACAGATGACAGAAAACCCCCTTCACTAAACACAATGGGATTAACGTCTTTTTGTCTATAATATTTTTTCTTATCTTTTTTTTTTCCTTTTGTGTAAACTGAAGACGGTTTTACCAGTCGATCGGAAATGTTTACAGTGTTCGGGTTGTTTGTACGTACACACAGGTATACACACATTTGGCGGGACTTTCTTGGTATTTCTTCTTCTTCTTCTTCTTTCTCTTCTTCTTCTTCTTCTTCTCTTCTCTTTCTCTTTTCTTCTTCTTCTCTCTTCTTTCTCTTCCTCCATCTACTACTACTTCTACTACTAATTATTAATTTCCTCCTCCTATTCTGCTTTCTTCTTCTTCTTCTTCTTTCTCTTCTTCTTCTTCTTCTTCGTCTTCTTCTTTCTCTTCCTCCTTCTACTACTTCTACTACTAATTATTATTTTCCTCCTCCTATTCTTCTTTCTTCTTCTTCCTCTTCTCCTTCTTTCTCTTCCTCCTTCTACTACTGATTATTTTCCTCCTCCTCCCTTTTATTCTTATATTCTTCCTCTTTGTGCCATTATTATTTCCTTTTCTTTTCCATCCTATCCCCACCCCTCTCCTCCTCCCCACTATCCCCTATCTCCGCCTCCTCCCCTTCCCCTCTTCCTCTCTTCCCCCCTTTCTTCCTCCCCACCATTCTACCTCCTCCTCCCCTTCCTCTCTCCCTCTCCTCCCCATCCTCCCTTCCTCCCATTCCCCCACATCCCCACCACCTCCTCCTCCCCACACCCCTTCCCTCTCCTCCCCATCCTCCCTTCCTCCTTTCACCCCCACTCCTCTTCCTCCCCACCATTCTACCTCCTCCTCCCTTCACCCCCACCTCCTCTTCCTCTCCACCATTCCCCCACCCCCCCTCCCCCTTACCCCTCTCTTCCTCCTCCCCATCCTCCCTTCCTCCTCCCCACCTCCCCTCCCCTCCCCTCCTTACCCCTTCTCCAACACCCCCCCCCCCCCCGCCAAAGGAAGCCCCGATAACGCGGTGCATTCGGTCATCGGCCCCCAACGAAGGTCGGGGTCACTGGCCTTAGATAATCATAATAATTAGAACATCATATTCATTAATTATTATTATTATTATTATTATTATTATTAATTATTATTATTATTATTATATATTATTATTATTTATTATTATTATTATTATTAATTAATTATTATTAATTAGAATAAGAATGAGTGTGGGTGATTGAGGGTGAGGGTGAGGGTGGGGATGGGGGGTGAGGGTGAGGGTGGGGGTGGGGATGAGGTGTGGGGGGGTGAGGAGGTGAGGTGGAAGGGGAGGGGGAGGTGAGGTGAGGGTGGGGATGGGGTGAGGAGGGAGGAAGGTGAGGGTGGGAGGGTGAGGATGGGATGGGTGAGGGTTGGGTGAGGGTGAGTGTGGGGGTGGGGGTGAGAGGAGGAGGTGGGAGGGTGGGGATGGGGGTGGAGTGAGAGGAGGTGGGGTAAGGGGAGGGGGTGAAGGTGAGGGAAGAGGGTGAGGGTGAGGGGAGGGAGGATGGGGAGGGTGAGGATGGGGTGAGGTGGTGGTGATGAATAATAATAAAAGAAATTATAATAAGGATAGAAATAATAATAACGATAACAACGCTAGCAATAATAGTAGCAATAAATAATAAACAAATAATGAAATTAAGTAAACGTAATAAAAACATCATTTAGCAAAGAACTGTTTAGTTATAACGTATTAAACAAGCAACGGAAATGTCTTAATCACCTTAATTAATCAAAAAGGATGTGTTGATTAATGAATAGTAATGTGTTAAATAATTAAGATTACATTTTTAAAATCTTAGTTGGGTAAAGATGTTGGTTAATGCCTTCTATCTTCTGTTTTTTTGTTTTTTGTTTTTTTTTCTTGTTCATGTATTTTTCTGTCTCTTCCTTCATTTGCTTATTTTTCTTCATTTATCTTTACCTCCTTTTTATCCATTAATCTATCTATCTCTTTTTCGCTCTGTCTGACTATTCATCTTTTGTTCTGTGTGCTTTCTTCTCTCTCTCTTCTCTCTCCTCTCTCTCTCTCTCTCTCTCTCTCTCTCTCTCTCTCTCTCTCTCTCTCTCCTCTCTCTCTCTCTCTCTCCCTCTCTCCCCTTCTCTTCCTCTCTCCCTTCTCCCTCTTCCTCTCTCTCCTTCTCCCTCTTCCTCTCTCTCCTTCTCCCTCTTCCTCTCCTTCTCCCTTACTCTCTCTCTCCCTCCTCTTCCTCCTTTACTCTCTCCGCCTCCTATCCCTCTCTCCCTCGCCCCAAAAAATATCATCATAAAATATCAATATACAGCACCTTATCTGTAAATAAACTAATTTATTGCCAAGAAAAAAAAAAAAATATATATATATATATTGAGTGGATGCAAAATCTCGTAAAATGACGGGACTAATTCCATTTCGAGTCGTGATAGATTTGAACATCATGTGCCCCCACCCCCCTCCTCCCCCCACCCCCCACCCTACTCATTAGGTCAATTAACAGTGTGGGTCAACACCTGCGGTACACCTGCGAGACCTACGGCGCTTAGAGATAGGCAAATACTCATACACACATAGGCTTCCATACTTATATATAAAAATTTACCTATAGACACATATACATACATACGAGCACGCACGCGCACATACGTACACATGCACACACATACACACCACACACACACACACACACACACACACACACACACACACACACACACACACACACACACACACACACACCACACACACACACACGCATATATATATATATATATATATATATATATTATATATATATATATATATATATTATATACCACACACACACACACACACACACACAGAAACACATCCCTCTACGAAAAAAAATCACAGACAGACAGACACAACCAGATATTGATACATCTCTAACCCTTCCCTATTCTCCGCAATTCCTCAATCACTCTAATAGATTAATCAATAGATCCCCAATCACACTAATAAATTAATCAATAAATCGCCTTCAAACGAACCCAAATTCAAATCACAAATCCGAGACAAGATCACGATAATCGGGATTACATACGTTTATATCTTCATTCATATCTTCGGGTGAGCGAGCAAGGGAGTGTAAATTAAGGGAGATGCAGTGGGAAGATTAGCTAATGTGAAAGGGATGGGGGGGTGGGGTTGGGTGAAGGGAGGAGGGAGGGAGGGAGGAGAAGGAAGGAGGATTAGGGTAATGAGGGAGGGATGGGAGGGAGGGAGGGAGGAGGGTTAGGGTAATGAGGGAGGAATGGAGGAGAGGAGGGAAAGGGAAGGAGGATGGGAGGGAGGGTGAAGGAGGAAGAAGGAGGAGCTATGGGTAATGAGGCGAGAGGAGGGAGGAAAGTATGGGAGGGAGGAGGAGGGGCTACGGGTAATGAAGGAAGGGAGGGGAGGGAGGGAGGGAAAAAAAGAATGAAAGGAGAGAGTGAGAGTGAGAGAGAGAGAGTGAGAGTGAGAGTGAGAGTGAGAGTGAGTGAGTGAGTGAGTGAGTGAGTGAGTGAGTGAGTGAGTGAGTGAGTGAGTGAGTGAGTGAGAGAGAGAGAGAAGAGAGAGAGAGAGAGAGAGAGAGAGAGAGAGAGAGAGAGAGAGAGAACCAGAAAGGGAGAAAACAATGAAAGAAAGAGATGGAGAGAGAGAGAGAGAGAGATCCAAAAACCGGAACAGAAAAAGAGATAAAGAAAGAACGGAGAGAACCAAAAAAAGAAAAAGATAAAAAATACAACGAAAGACAAAAAGAAAAAAAAAAAAGAGAGAAATTACAAAGAGAGAATAAAACCCACTCTACATGCACGTATAACGAGCAGCGGCGTTGATACCAACCTATAAAAGAGACACTTCACAATCCACACTTAAAAGCCGACAGAATCATAAGTCATTTTGCTTCGTGTGATAAAAGACTCTTGAGAGAGAAGCCACACATACACACACACACACACACCACACACACACACACACACACACACACACACACACACACACACACACACACACACCACACACACACACACGTACACACACACACACA